ATGATAGTTGATAAGCATAGACCATGTCGGCATAGCGCCCGGCACGTCCTTTTGTTACCAGACGTTAAATACATCATCATCATCATCATCATCATCATACGACGCTTCTCTCAGCCTCGTACTAGGTAAGTAGCTTGGCGAGACCTTGTGTTTGTGATGTTCCTGAGGTGCATTCATCAATTGTTGCTAACATACTCTCAGAAGCCATGTATCATGGGCAACCAACTGAGAGGATAAACTAGGTACTAAGAATTTTTTATGTCGCATCACGCATTATCATCCGTCTCTCCTCCTCTACATTATCCAGCTCAAGGAGCAGGGGTGGCAGCAGGCAAGCAGGCGCAAGCACTGCTAGCCTGGGCAACCTTGTCCTCCTTCGCACAGTTCTGCACAGCGTGCGCGGGGAGAACGCTAGCATCCTTAACAGGCTTGCTCAAGAACGACTTGCAGAAAGCCTGCGACTCCTCAAGGCGGCCGGGGACGGAAGTGGCGCGGAACGAGCGCAGGCAGTTGTCGGCGTTGCAGACGGGGGCCTTGGGGCAGTCCTTGCCGGTCAACTTGACGACGAAGGCACCGCGCTCGATGGTGTTGATGAAGATGTAGCCTGAGGGGAAGTAGGCGTACGAGGACCAGGTGCCGACGAAGCCGACGTAGCCGCCGCCCTCGAAGTCGTCGTCCTCGGGGTAGATGTCGAAGTAGGCGGCCTCGCAGACGCCGGCGCCGGTGGGGTCGGTGGGGATGGAGGTGCCGTCGAGGACGCGGAGGCCGGCGCCGTAGTGGGATTGGTAGATGTAGTTGTCGATGACGTACTGGTTGTGGTCGATGGCCTTGGTGGGGTGCTTGAACTCTACAGTATTGTTAGTTTTCCGTTGCGGCTTCGGATAGATAAGTAGGTTATTAAGAATACGCACCTCCGGTCTGCTTAGGGTTCTCAAGGTCTCTGATGTCCCAGATGAAAGTGACGGGGTAGCCGTCTCCGCCAGGGCCGTTGCCGCGGACCTGTGGTACCAACAATTAGCTTTTGCAAAGGTAACATAGTGTTCTTCGATCAACTTACCTCGTCAAGCTCGTCATCGAGGACAAGGAACTCCTGGTTGTTCACGTCAAGGACCCAACCCTGGTGAGTGTAGGAAGCACCCTCGTACGAGATACGGGAGATGATGTTCGTGATGTTGGCCTTGTCGGTAACGTCGTAGATGGTGAGGGTGTCCTCGTTGTAGCCGTAGCAGATGTCACGGTCCTGGTAGCGCTTATCGGGTCCGCGGTAAACCAAGCACTGAGCATCGTGGACGTATCCATCATCCTTGGCACAACCCAGAGACACGGGGTTGGCGGGGTCCGTCAGGTCGAAGAAGTTCAGACCAGCGGCGCAGAGGGGGTCAGTACGGGGCGCGGCACCAACAGCGACGCCGTAGTTGAGCTCTTCGTTAATGACAACGTTGTGAGCACGGCCCAGGGGCAGGAGGGCGTTGAAGTGACCGGTCAAGTCGGCCTTGGCGTCGAAGACGACGGGGCTGGCGGGGTCAATGTCCAGGAGCTTCTTCATGTCAAAGATCTGGATGCCGTGGCCGACGGCCTCAGATCCGATGACCATGTAGTGCTTGTAGGAGCGGATCTCGCGCCACTCGGAGGGCGCCGAGTACTGGGGTAGGCGGCCGAGGTAGACCAGCTTGCCGTCCGAGAGGATCTCGGCGAAAGCGGTACCCTCGTACTGGCCGATGGCGACGAACTCACGCCCATCGTCGTTGGTCCATCCCCAAGAGGAAGAACCCTCAGCAAGGGGTCCACCAAGGGCAGCGTGGCTGACGAAGGAGTACAAGTCGGCCTGGAATGTGTTACTCGAGTGTCTCGGGAAGAGCCATGTTTCTGATGGGAACCTACGTTGTTGCACCTGAAGGTGTTGTTCCTGTCTCCAACGACGGCCTCGGCCCAACCGTTCACGCAGGGGGTGTAACCCAGCTCAGGCCAGACCTCACTGTTGTAGGCTCCAGCTTCTCTCTGGCGAGCGAACTCGGCCTGGTGTTGTGCGTCAGTCTCAGTTCCCGTAGCCATGATTCTTGGTTTCTTGTTTACCTTCTTAGCAGCAATGACCTGTTCGTGGACCTTGCCAGAGTCGTAAAACTCAGCGGAGATGGCGTCGTTCGTCTGGATCTCCTTGGCCATCGCCGAGGCGGCGAGGACGGCAAGGGAGCCGAGGTAGGATGAAGCGCGAACCATGGTGCCGGATGTCCAATGCAAACACTATGAGCGTGTTTTGCGTAATTGAAAGGTAGGATTGGACTGGAATGAGCGAGGGAGATGGATTGGAGGTTGGGTTCCCTTGGAGATCAAGAGAAACAGTATGCATGAGAGGTGGGCACAGCTCTGGATTTATATCATGACCAGGTCAGATTGGCAGATACGGATTATAGCAACCAAAGTCCCAATCGTGCCTGCTAATCATTGCTTCCTGTCATGGAAGCTCGATATGCAGTCATGTCGGGATGCCTGCTCGCGCCTGGGACTGCTGGAGTCCATCGATCTGGGCATTGTCTCGGCGCTACTGGGGGGGGGAGGGAAGAAAGTTGGTGGAGCAAATGTTCCTCGTGGAGTTGCAACCATGGGAAACTCGGATGCCACCAAGACATGCCAGGCTCGCTGCACCGCAACATGTGTCTGGCCATGTAGGCGTATGCAAGACAGGCGGGCGGTGCAAATAACAGCAACTGTTGCCGGCCAGTCACAAACGGCGGCAGAATAACATCGCACAGTGAGGAGTACAACTATCCCACTATCCACAGACTTAGCAGTGAGCGATAATTAAAGAGCAACTCCGGGCGACAGTTGTGCTCGATTAGCCACCCGCTCGAGCGTTCTTGGAGGCTCTTGGCGGGAGTCCTGGAAGGGCAGGTCCCGGGATTAGTATGGCCTTGGCGGACAACGGTCCGGGGAAGCTTCGCAGTCACGGCGCAGGAATAGCGGGACATGAGGATCCACTCCTCCGGGATGGCCTCCTTTTCCTTGGGTCGCTCTATTTTTTCCCTCTCTCTACGAAGATGGCAGCGTATACGAGGTGCGCAATCAATTCACGGCGTGATAAATGTCGCAAGTTGTTTCTCAGGAGAAGTGATGGCACCCGGAGATAGGAGTCTTTCCATCTTTACTGAGTCTCGCAAGTAGCTGTGGCAACTCAGAGTAAGGATTGAGCGCAGTCAGAATCAACTGGATCTTTCAATGTCATGGCTTACTGTTCCGACGCGACCAACATTGAGCTTCCTCTCCGGATCTACGGATAAGTTGGGTGCCTGGGGTTCTCCAGCCCCCAAGTCACGCTCAACTGCATGCGACCTCACCTTCTCAAGCCCATGACGACAGCTCCCGCGTGGCTCCCCAGGGTGGCCGAGGCGTCCGAGCAGTCCCCCCTCACGGAGTGCAGGCCAGTACAAGCTTGAAAGCGGCGATGAGGCTCGCGACAGCAAAAGTCCTTTGGGTGCGCGATGCATCGGCGCCAAGCCTGGTTGGAGTGGACCAAGTACCTGAATCAAGCAGGACGTCAGCACCTATTGGTTGGATAGAGACATGTTGATAGGCACCTGCCAAGAAAACAAGCGGCTGGTCCGTCTTGACTTCCAGGCTGCCTCGTCCAGCAAAGAAGTTGGATACGATGGGAGGCCAGAGCTAGCTGGCGACGGCGTTGCTTTTCCTGATATGTGGCACGATGGCTTCCCTGTCATCGAACATCTTTCAAGACAGAATGTCTAGGCCACAGTGCCTAGGAGATTACCAGGAAGCGCCTCAATGTGTTAGTCAGAGGTAGTAAGTTTCTCTGATCGTCGACTGCCGTCTAGGTACGGAGAGAAGGTCGGTGGGAATAAGCGACAACACCCGAACTCTATCTAAAAGTTAAAAGAGTTTATTTCCCCTTCAGGCACCTCCTGGCGACTGCATCTGCAAAGTCAACAGGGATCGTATCAAGCCCCAGTGTGAATGGTTCCCCAAATCCCCGCTGCACATTGGCTGCCATCGGCTCTTTTGCCCCACCTCCATCCTCAACAACAATGTTCTTCCTCGGACTCGGGTCAGCAATGCAATGTTTACCCGCTTGATTTCCGCACGGGGCGGCGGGATGGCAAAGAGGCCAGCATTAGAAACAATCGACAGATTCTGAATAAGACTGTCTGAAATGACAGCTGAAGTGCATTGACTGGGGAGACATTACCCACTGGTCTGACTAAGAATACCTACAGGACAGTCAAACCAGCAGTCAAAACGCGTCAGATCGTGGTCGCTACGCATTTGAGTATCGAGTGTATGCCATTCCGTTGACTACCACAGCTGCTAGCCTTTTCCTGTCTCGATTACTTGTATTAATCCGCCTCCATGTAGCCAACAAGCCCATTTTCTCGCTCAATTCGTAATGACTTATCCGACATCCCGACTATCTCCCCCGCTTTAACTGTCCAAGCCTCGCTAGACTTGAAATGGCAGGAGACCAGAACCATTGCTTTGGGCCAACATCACCAGGCCTACAGCCGATTCGGTGTCTCCACCTCCACAAGTGATCCAACATCCATGACTCTCGATTTATTTCTGAATGTAAGGTACTTTCGTATTCACAATCATACCCTATCAGCCAAGACTTCTCTCGCGGCTGCATATCCCCATTGTCACATTGGTCCATCCAGGTTCCTCACTTTCGAGGTTGTTGTTGGCGTCCTCCCTAATTAGCCAGCCAACAGTGAGGGAGTGAGGGAGTGAGGGAAGACTGCCTTGCTAGAATCAACGTTGGCCAGGACTTGCTGTTTTTCTTTGACCTTAATGGTGCCGAGGTAGGTAAATAACCTGATCAAAGCCAAGAGTTGGCCGCTCTCCGAAACAGCAATTCATCCGCCGGCCCACGCGTTGGCTAGACGAATAAATATGGGCAATGGCGATAGACGAGGACGGCAAGACGTGATCAGTGACAGTCTATGTTTTCCTGACTTGCTCATGCGCAAAATTTCTCTCCAGAGCTCAAGAGACTCCTCTCTTCGCTCAGCAAGCTGAAGCGTTTTGCGTGCTCGTACACATTCACAACTGTCGTCGGCGAGTAGCACTTGGCATAGTCCACATTCAGGCTTTCCGACTTGAGCCGCTGAGTACCACATGCTCTAGATCCGTAGCTTCCTCTTCCGATCGGCGACACGCAGCGATTTGCACTAGATGCCTGCTCGTTCTGTTGCATCCATGCACCTTTGCATCTTGCGTGGCTGCACATGGCCTACAGACGCATGGGTATGGATATGCGGGACGGATACAGCAGGACCGTCGTGTCGTTCTGCTCGGCTTCCGTCGCTTCAGCGCCATTCTCCCCGTCGGGCTGATGTAACAGCAGCACTCGCGCGGTCTATCGTTTTAGAAGCCGATGTGAACTTATGGGGCTAAAGTAGAGATGATCGCTTGGCCTGAACCCGGAGCAGCTTCTTGGCAGGGGCTGATATGGAGGCTTCAAGCGTTAATTTGGAAGCTGGTAATCAAGTCAAAGTCGTATGACCTGGAGTTGATTTACACTGCCATAGCCGAGAAATCGTTGACATCGCCGCATTTGGCGGCAGTCCTTAGACATCCGATCTGTCCAGTCATTGGTCGCACTTGCCCTGTGTAGCATGTCGGTCGAGTGAATATTGGTATTGTGCTGCTCACGTGTCTCTGTCGAAACTAACGGCCACTTATGCACATGAACTTTAGGTGGACTACCGACAAAGACCAACTTTATTTCAAGAGACGCCTCAGAAGTCTAGTTTGTATTCAAGTTCTGTTGGCAGTAGGCACAGACATGGGCAGTTGCGGACGTATCCCCATATCCCTACATTGATCGTTTCAGTGGCAAGAAGCTAAGAAAGCTTTGGTCGTTCTCGTAAAGCTATCTTAGCATCACATACATGATCTGATGCGGCATCTGAAGACGAAGTGCATCCTATTGTTTCTCGAAGTTCTGTTTGAGGTCACACTCACACATGTCCCGAGCGCTGCCATCCCATGCTTGCTTGCTTAATACGAGATGTAGTACGTTGGCGAAGATTCAAGGGAGCGAAAAGAATGGAAGCTCTCGATCTTGGAGTGCCCAAACCGGCTGGTCCTACCAAGCAAGCTCTTTGTCTTGATGTGGCATTGAATGATCGCCAGCACCGACCTCGCCGCGGCTTTCATGCATACGAACGACACTGATGGCCAAGTCAATTGACCTGACTTGCCCTTTGTACTATCTTCCCTATCTTCCATGCAAAAGTCTAGCCAAACGAGAAGATATATAAGCAAGATGGAAGACACATTCAAGCCAGTCTTGTCATCATCGAGAACATCTCTCCTTCTATCCTTTATTTCCTTGAAACGAAACGCTCGTCTGTGACTGACAACACAATGTTCGGCTCACCTCTCTCCGTGATCATCTACGCCCTTATTGTAGGCCTCGTCACAGGTCACGCGATCCCAATTGACACGATCATTGATCCGAGATCTCTCGAAGAGCAGGGCAGAGAGAAACAGCCCTGGGCAGCTCACGACGTCCAATGCCACAACGAAGCCGACTTCCCGGGCCACGCCGACATCCACGCCGCCTGGCAATGGGAAGCTACGAAGAGTTTCTGCGACAGCGACCAGGGGAAACGAATCTTCACGACCTACCAGGATCCGGCGGAAAATCATTACCCGGTTGTCTATAGATTGCGCTATAGGTGGAAGGACATGTGGAAAGTCAACTACGACTTTTACGTCCAGTGGGTGGCTGGCTGCAGAACGGCATTTGGTGCGCAGAGGGTCGATGATCCGCTGCTCAGCAAGGACGGGAAACCGTCCTGTGCATCCATCATGAATAACAATTTCAAAAAGTGTAAGTCTTTTAAAAACATCATTATCATGAAGTTGATGGATTTCCATCATGTCTTCTTAGATCAACGATCAGAGTCAGAACCGACAATCACAACACGGAGCACTGAGCTAATACTGTAATTCGCAGGCAACAACGGTGGCGTCGGCGGCGCAACGCAAGTTGGATGCCTTCTTTACACGTTCAACGGTGGTAAAGGCGACAACCTGCTCACGGCGTCTGAGCTTCAACAGCGCAAGATCTACGACGAGAAGAACGGAATCACGAGAGTGCAGGACCCATGAGGCAGACGCAGATATTCGCGTCAGGCTTGGAACGCCTTGTGCTTGAGGTGGATATTTGGGACAAAGACCGGTGTAATGTAACAATATTACAATCAATGTGAGCTCTGCGCGGAAGGTGTGGGTTTCTTTTCTTCTATAATTCACAAGTGATTTCAATCTCAGGAAGCTACGTAGATGCAACTCCCTAAATACAGAGCTTTTTCTACTTATTGTTTCAGGACCTCCGACTCTTTTCTATTACAGTTTCTGACACCTTGGAGAATACATCTTAACGCCGCGCAGCTCAGAAGTAGCCTTATCTTGACAAGATCAATTGCTATTCAATGATGACATCCAGTGTGAACGCCTTCGCGTACGTGCAGCGCTGCGAATAAACTCTCATCGAATGTCCTTGTAAAGCCACTGAATTCTTAAGACTTGCATTGCATTTAACACGAATCGCTTTCTTGAAGACATGTGAACATGGCAAGCTGAGTTGTGCTGCCAATAAGTGGTCTTCCTTGACAATCAATTCGAAGATCGTCATAAAGATAGCCACAGAGGTTTCGCTAAAGAATCCTGGTCCGGTAATATTGGAATCGGCTATTTGCATCTCAACTTGATATGGCGACGACATTGGGTATTGTCGAATCTTCCTTCCTGAATCCCCGCATTGAGTTGACTAGGCATAATTTGACTGATCACAGTTGTTTAGGTAGCTAAATAGTTTCTAGACTGTAGTTTGGACTTCTGAAGTTGGGAAGGTGCTTCATCGTGAAGAAACAAGAGCATATGCTCCTAGTAGCCTGCAGCTTACGACTTCGGAACCGTTCCGTGGCAGCTCGATAGGCAAGTACTGGTACTGGAGTAATGTCGTCATGTCGCAAGAATGGTAAATACCTGTGACCTTCCCAGTCCAAAATTCCTGTCCAAGTCATACGTGTGATGTCAAATGTCTTGATCGAATCGCAATATCCCACTGCAAGTCTTCAAAGCATCTGGAGTTGCGCAAAACCAAGAGAAGAATGTCACTGAGTAATTGCTGCAATATTGGTGGCTCACCGAACCCCACGAAGCAAGGTGGGTGCGGGTAGCACATGCGGGGAAATGTGCCGGAGCCCGGATCCCAGTCGGTATTCGGGGGTGGCATACTTCGTACTTAACCCCCACTCTTCCCCAGCCTGTCGAGTCGTGGTGGAGCGCAACTCCCGTGAACTCCAACGTTGGGCAACCTCCTGGCAAATATTCACTGGTTTCTGCGACTCATCTCGCAATCCACAAACTCTTCAAGATGACGGGGGAAGACGAGGACTTTGACCTGTCAGGTAATGAAGAAGCACATTCTCCCACAGCATCGGGGGTGCGCAGAAGGTCGGTGGCTAGCTCGACGCATCCTACGAGGTCTAAGCGTGCCAAATATGCGGCTGCCGCTTGGTAAGTGAAATTGAGTCTCATGAACTGATATTCGGAAGCTGACCATGCAATAGCACCGAGTGCAAGAAGCGGAAGCTTAAGTGCATCAGACTAGGGAATGAGGAAGAGTGCCAGAGATGCATGTCAGGTGGTGTCGCGTGCACATTCGGCCCAGCTGTCACGCAAGAAGGCGGGACTGTCGCTAGAGAAAGGGTCAGAAGCAGGAGGAAGTCAAGACAAAACAGGTCAGCGCTGCATCTTATGCAAGCGAGCTCCGAGTAGTTGCTTTAACATGCTAAGTCGCACCAATAGTCAGCCAAGTGTTGATCTTCGGAGTGAGCTCTCCATGCTTAGGGAGCAGGTAGCCACACTCGCAAGCACTGTGGGCAAGCTAGCCTCAGAAAAGAATCGTCAAGGAACGTCGGCTTCTCCAGGATCTCAGCAACAGATGTCTCTTCACGACAATTCTTCTGTCCAAGGAGAACAAGAACCAAAGCAACCGCAATTCGTGGGACCCACAAGATCAGCGTTCAGTCTCAAGGTTGCTGAGACGTCATTAACGCGGATGGGAATATCGGCTCATGATCCGGTCACGACAGCGGTCAGCGAATCTCTCGCGCCCACCCGATACCCAACTCCCGAACAGTCCGAACCGTCACTTTGGGCACCTGTAACGGACATCTTACTCACTATTCCACTTGAGGAGTTCGTGAGACTTCTTGAAGTCTTTGAAGAAGAGGTAGAGATCGTCTACCCCTTTATCGACACGCGTGAGATGATTTCAAAAGCCGCGGATATTCGTGCGTATGTGGAGGCAAACACGGACTGTACGGTACCTGGCGCTATACCAGGCGTAAGTGTAGACATCAAAGATGTTATTCTCGCAAAAGTGGCTATCGCCATAAGCATGGTGGTTGAGGCGCACGGTAAGAATCACTCAAGTAGCAAGCTGGTCGAACCTGTAAAACACCTGATTTATCAGCTTACGCTCGATGCCGAGGCAGATCTCAAGGTCATTCAGATCATGGCCACGATCGTAAGTCCGACAAACCCATAATCCTGATAGAAGAAGCGACTGACATGATGGAAGAGCATCTACTACTTCTTCTCGGACGAAGAGCTACTTGCATGGAGAAACATCGGCATTGCAGCGCGAGCATCTCTGGAGATGGGCTTGCATCAAAACCTGAGTCTCACAGACAATTTTCCAGACCCTAAGACGCGGAGTCTAGCAGTGCGGGTCTTCTGGTGCGTCTATGTCTTGGATCGTCGCTGGAGTTTCGGGACCAGTCTATCATTCGCCCTCTTTGACCGAGATATCGACCCAAATTTGCCTGAGCCAGTAAGTCCCTTCACTATTATGCAGAAAGTAAGTTGTCTAACCTGGATTTTAGTCTGAAGATTTCCAGTATCTTCGTTGTTTGATAGGTTACGGACGGTTATGCTCCAAGGCATGGGACGCTTTACCTCCATTCAGCGCACCTTCTCAGTCTATCCCAAAAGATACGGTCGCGTTCCTCGATTTCACGGCCCAAAATTGGCTCAAATCAATACCCCCTGATCTTCAATTGCGTCACCCGCAACACGGCAGTATACAGACAGCCCAACCCCGCTCTATTCGTCGGCTGAGAGCTCTCCTATATTTGCGGGGCAATCACATCAGAACTCTGATATATCGACATCATGTCATCAGCTCAACAAGCATCGAGGCTGATGTAGAAAAGGCTCGCCTTGTTGTGGACATTGCTATCGATAGCATATCAGTCTTGGTTCATCTGAGCGAAACGAGCGACATTTACGAACGGCAGCAAAGCGCGTTCAACTATTTTCTGTTGAGATCTCTCGCCGTCATCTTTCTCGCCGTTTGCCATGGTACGCGAATATTTGCCGAGCCATGCAGAGACAGCTTCCTCGCCGCTGTGGAGCTCGTCAAGTGCTTTTCTCGACGGGGAACAGCCAGCCGCAGACTTTGGAAGAGCATACGAGGTCTCTTGCCCCTAGCGCATCGCATCGGGCTCCGTGGTGACGAGCATGCTGGCGGGCGACGGGTTGATGCGGGCGAGCAACCGTCAAATATGATCTCTAGCTCTTCTCACCCCATGGACACAGTGATAGAGGAAGAAAATCCTTCGTCTGCCGTGGGATTGGACTCAAGCTTTGCAACGATCCCATCAGCGCAGCCCATGGGTATGAGTGCAGAGTTTGGTGCTGGAGCCCCGGATGCATTTGCTCTCAGCAATGATTTGATGTTTCTGTTCGACGCTTTTGAGCAGAACGAAGACATCTGGGCAAATGGGATGCAGGATTATGTGGGAGGTAATGAACAACAGCCGCCATTGTCTGGAGAGGAGATCTCGCGTCACTTCTGGGGTTTGATTTAGACTGGTGTTGTGGAATTGATAAAAGGACTATTGTCAACAACAAAAGATGTACATGTAAAATGCCTGCTACTTCTCGCAGATTTCGGCAAAACAGGGTCAAAAAATCGCATCATCATTGACCAGAAACAGGGGGACTGGAGTATCGTTAAGCCTCGGGGTTTCAGGGGCTTCACTTCTTTTTGAAGAAAAATCCCGAGTTAAATCAACCATTTCTTTTTGTTTCAAATTGGTCGCTGGAAATGTGTACTATTATCTTGGATTGAACTACGTCTTATCCTTGGTGCTCATTCCTTTTCTACCTCAAATCTTTCTGCTAAACTCATATCCTCCATCCCATAGTTAGGTATAATCAATAACTAGAACTTCTCTCCATACTAATTTATACTCTAATATACTCTTTTGGTATATTCTAGGTTAACTAGCTAACTTAGAAGGATAACGCCTTGGTTCTCTTCTTCACAACTATCTATAACCACACCGCCGAGATCCTCCGGAACCGCCGCCGGCCCACCGGCGATTCCTCGGCGAAGCGGGCCGCTCGTCAAGTGTTCGGCTCCTAAGTCCGGAAGCTTCTTCCGGTGCCCGTCTATATCGACGATTACAACCATAATATGAACGGCGTCGATACGAGCGATCAGATAAGGTCATACTATCAATATAGGCGGCCAATCAGAAGAGGAGGATAGGAGTCAATTGCTTAGAACTTCCTACTCGAGAGCATACTTATAAATACATATCTTCTACAGCAATAGGGGTGCCCAAACTGGAGATCTCTCGAGAGCTAGTACGAATGGCGCAGACTGCTTTCTACCTAGCTAATTCAGCACTTTGGGCCATTAGTAGGAGCTCGCAAGAGATCTAGGCCTCAGAGGGCTACAGATACGCAGAGGCAAGATGTTCTCTGGCAGCTTCATACGCGGGAGCCACGCAAAAACCCATCTCCTTGCGTGGCCTGCAACTTTTCAAGGCCGAATTCGAGAGTGGCACTTGGGGAGGTCAGTGGTAACGGCAGGCGTCGTAAACAGTCGCGATCGGGCTGCCAGTAGTGTAGAGTAGCCCTATATAATAATAATAAATGCTGGTACATCTATCACAGCCAGAATATATAGTGTTGGATCTCTGAGCAGTCGGCAGAAAAGGTGGATCTGGAAGGCGGTATGGGCCCTTACATACCACTTCTGAGAGGCCGTGGGCTCTGCCCACAACCTCCTCCTTCCACCTCAAGACGCAGCAATAATAGACCATTATTGACACTTCGTTCCAACCGTACGGTTGCCCTGCTGACGTGTATACCAACATATAGCAAACGAATGTACCATATCTTTCTGGGATTTAATTGGCGAAGGGGGGCGCCGATCAGTATGTTGACTGGACATTACCCCTCACAAGTTGTACTGTAGTCCACTGGCACCCGATGGGATACTATTGCCTGTCAAACCCCGGAAAGCACACCCATCACGCCTTCTCTTCGGTCGCTTTCAGGGCGTCACTCATCGTGCTAGCATCGCGGGGTACGAATCTTGACTTGTACGGCCTGGGCATCGCCACGAGAGAAGTAGGATCGGCGCTGCCAGAAATGGGATGGTGATCCACGTCGTCATGCTTCTCAATCTTGAAGCTGTTGAGGAGTCTCATGTAGACGAGATATAGTTCACGGTTGGCCAACAGAGAGCCAGCGCACATGCGGTAGCCGACGCCGTACGTGAACAGCGGCGCGTCGGGTTGTTCAAACCACCGCTCGGGGCGGAAGACTTCGGGGTCGGTCCATACTTCAGAGTCTGGTGGATGTTAGTGGAATACTTTAAACGGAAATCTAAAGGAGATGACTTACCCATGTTGCAAGCCCAAGCGTTGAGGAAGATGACTGATCCTTTGGGAATGACAGTCTGTCCGAAAGGAACATCACGAACCGAGGCTCGTGGTAAAGCAAGGCGAAGGACAGTGTAGTATCTCAAAGACTCTCGCACCAATGCCACGATGTATCGGCACTGTTGGTCATCCTCGGCATCGCAGAAAGGTTGCTTCTCGCTATAAAACTCTTGAATCGCAGCGGCGGCCTTGTCCTGGATGTCTGGGCGCTGAGAAAGCATGGCGATGAACCAAGCCACCTGAGTCGTGATGGTGTCAAGACCTCCAGACAACATTGTCAAACTGATTGAGGTCAGCTCCGCCTGGTTCAGCTTCGCGTCCTTGTCCATGATGACGTTGGATTGGATACAGGGCTTGTGGGTGCCGTTCGCCATGCGCTCATCCAGACCTCTGTTCAGGGCAGTCAGGTAGACGTCTCGTCTGCTGCGCATCTCTCGTGCCTTGGCAGAGTGCATGTTGATGGGGTTGATACGCAGCAACGGGATGTAGTCTTGGAGGTTGCCTGTGGTCGACCGGAAGCGGCTGATTTCCTCCTCGACGTGAGTGATCTCCTTGAAGAGGTTACCTTTCTGACTGCTCATGCGAGTACCCCAGTTCAAGGTCAAGGCAAGAGACAACGACAGGCGTTGGATCATCGGCACAGGGTCGACGGGAGCCTGTCCAGCTTTTCCATATTCGTATAGCTCCTTGATGAAGTCCCTCGATTCGACGTCGAGATGCGGCACATAGGTTGCTACTGAGGGTCGGTTCAAGGCTGAAGCAGCGCCTTTGCGGCGGCGCTTAAGAGAGTCGCTGTAGGGAGATGTGCCGATGGTCGTTCCAGCTGTATCTGAGAGAACCTGCATTACTTCCATCAGCCTCATCACTAAGGCATTGGTCTAACACATCATGTCATGTCATCTTCTGCTTACCTTGTGGAAAGTGTAAAACTCAGGGCGGGAACTGAGTGCCTGGGCATTCTCTCCGAAGAGAGCCCTCGCCGCGGAGGCGGAGTTCACGACAACGACAGGTACGTTTCCCAGCTGGATCTGGTAGACAGAGCCAAACTTCTTGGCCCATCTACGGTACTGCTCAGCCGCATTGACCCGGATATCCCACAAGTTGCCGATGAGTGGTAGCCCTCCAGGACCGTCTAGCTTTGCTATCCTGGCCTTGGAGCGAATGAATTCATTTGCAATGACGTAGATGAGGGGTAGGAGGAGGATCGAAATGGCGGTTGACTGCAGGGCATGGTCGAATATTCTTTGCTTCAAAGCAAAGATGGGAGTTGAGATGGCCATGGCGTCAAATTGAGATGTTTCTGCGCTCCAACGTGTTGTAGACGATGAGTTGTGTTGTGATTCTGATTCATTACTCGAACTCGCTAGCTACTGCCACCACCTCCATGATATACGTACAGACCCAGCTCGCCGTTCTTATCCGGCCTCAGAGCCGTCTCCTGAGTCTCGGAAGTTTTCCTGTCGGGTCCTGTCGGTACTGTCCTTCCTGGCAAACCGCCATCTGGAAACAGACCTCTCGGAACTGGTTCATTACAAAGGACACTAATTCCCCGCGTTCCCCACCCCCAGGTCGCCTTGCAGATGCAGCTAGGGGTATGACCCCCGTACGGAACGTCGGGATGGCTTGCAAAGAATGCGGGGTGCGTTCCGAGCGGAACGTGTGCTGTTCCGAGTAGCAAGCAGTACCATTGCCGAACCTTTTCCTGGACTTTTGGATCTCTCAATGGCCGATAATATGGAAAGAGCAAGCATTCCCTTGCTTGAAAGTCGCATGCCAGCAGCCAAACGTGGCTTGGACTACTTCCCCTGTTCTCTCAACTCCAACTAGATACGGCAGAGAGACGTGTCAAAGGTAAAAGCAAAGATATTGTAGCCGGTCCTTATCTATCGCCATGAGTCAGACGAGGAACAAAGACACGTTCTACAGTTATTGTCATTTTCGCTACAAGGATGGCCGGCATCATCACAAATGACCAATCGAGTGACCAATTGCCTGCTCCTTGCTGATGTCCAACACTTTTGCAACATCAGGACCTTGACTCTTGTCGATCACGGAGAGGGTAGCTCACTGCTGTTTATTGCAAGTCTGTGAGGCGTGTTGCATCTGGTGCCCACCAAACCCCCGACTGCCCTCCCTCGGAATGCGGAAATCGCCCATGCTCAGTATCTAGCTTCTCGACGAGAACGGACAAGCGCCGCAACGGGGTATTGTCACCAATTTCTCAGCCCTGGACTCGACTCCCGTCCAAATAGAAACACCAGTAGCCTGTTAAGATCAAAGCATTAGCAATAGTTATTCTGCTAGGCATTGTGCCGTATCATCAAAATCAGACTGATACTGATAGTTCGCGCTGGGTAATCGCATTTCCCGGCACACCCGCGTGACTGTCTGGCTATCACATCCTTCTCCTATTCTGAATTCTGCCTCCGTCGTGCCGGGTGCCCTAATTCCGTGTTTCCGGACTCAAGAGCAACAAAAGAAAAGAAAGCAATATCCGGCAAGAAACAACAAACCACAATTGTCGATACGGGCAAAATGACCCGTGATTCCATCATGGACCAGAACGAAACAAAGACCGACGACCAGCTCAAGGCAGTCGATAGCATCCCCGGCTATCTAGTTCTTTCCGATGAAGAAAGTCTCGCGCAACTCGGTCATCAGCAGGAGCTGAAGCGGCAATTCTCTTTGACAACCCTGGGGGCATTATGCCTATGTCTTATGGCAACCTGGGAAGCACTTTCCACTGTCATTGCCGAAGCACTCCTGAATGGCGGTGCGCCATGCCTATTTTACAACTTGTAAGTTCATGGCATTCATCCGTGTCTGTTTTACTCAGGCAGTGGAGAAGGTTTATGTTGTCGAGCATGGATTGACAATCTGCTCAGCGTTCTTTCCTTTCTGTGCTCTGTGTGCATAGCATCATCTCTTGGCGAGATTGCGTACATCTATCCTACTGCAGGAGGTAAGGTTTCTTGATGACTCTAGCCTCTACATTCCCATAGCTAACTACTCCATTGTAGGCCAGTACCACTGGGTCGCGGCCTTGTGTCCCCCTCGTAGTCGATCACTCGCCGCTTTCACGACCGGTTGGATCTCCGTTGGCGGTCTGATTGTCTTCTGCGCATCAGCAGCGTTTGCAGCCGGCCTGCAAACCCAGTCCTTGATCGTCATCAACGACGACTCCTACATACTGGCACGCTGGCAAGGCATGCTGTTCTACTAGGCTGTGCTCCTGTACTCAGCGGCGCTGAACATTTGGGGATCAAAGATGCTGCCCCACGCAAACATGATATCAGTTAAGGAAGACAAGAGGGATACACCTACAGTGTCTATACGCGAGCTCTCGCTAACAACTCCCGAAGGCATTCTCCACGTTGTGGGCTGCGTAGTCATACTGGTGGTCCTTGGCGTCATGGCTCCCAAAATAACTGCGTCGTTCGTCTTCACCGAAGTTGTCAATAGCAGTGGCTGGGAAAACGATGGTGTATCGTGGCTCGTGGGCTTGATTAGCGCGGTTTATCCTTTCCTTGGGTAAGTTTCCTCTACAAACTATCTTCCCATCTATGATCCCCTCAAGGGGTTGCTGACTTGGTTTAAAAAAGGTACGACGCTGCTTGCCATATGGCCGAGGAAATTCCTATTAATGCCCCACGCAATGTCCCCATTGCCATGGTCGGAAGTGTGACAGTAAATGGCCTGATGGGCCTCATTTACGGCACAGTCCTACTGTTCTCGACAGGGCTACTGGAGTCTCTATTGACTACACCAACCGGCTTCCCCTTCATGCAGATTTATCTCGATGTCACCAGATCTCGGGCTGGAGCGACAGTGCTCTCACTCCTAGTGATCTTGATCGCAATTGCTGCAAAAGTAGTCGGCATTACCTCCGCTTCCCGCACCCTCTGGGCTTTCGCTCGAGACAGAGCTGTTCCATTCGACTCGCATTTCAGCTACATCAATAAGATTCTTCAGGTTCCAGTAACCTCTATAGTGTTTGTTACTGTGTCCCAAATTCTTCTCGGCTTTCTCTACTTGGCCAACACTACTGCTTTCAATGCAGTTTTATCTATGGCAATTATCGGCATCTATCTCTCTTACAGCATCCCTGTTGCTTATATGTTGTTCGTCGGTAGGAGCAAGCTTGCGCGCAAGGAGTACGGACCTTTCAGATTGGGCCCGGTTGTGGGGCCAGTCTTGAATGCTATTAGTCTTGTTGTTGTTGTTCTATTTAACGCCATGGCGGCAAGGGCGCAGCCGCCCTTGCGGCAGACCTCCCGGAGGGTATTTGGCGTGAAGGGTCGCAGGCTCTAGCTATATACTATAGCTATTAGTCTTGTGTGGATGACCGTCGTCATCATTTTCAGCACTTTCCCTTCATCACAACCGGTCACTGCCCAGAATATGAATTACTCTACCGTGGTCATGGCAGGCTGGTTAGTCTTCGGACTTGTGTATTACTTCATCCGAGGCCGGGCGAAGTTTGAGGTTCCAGTTGTAGTTTCGGATATTGTCGAAGGAGTCAGGGATATTTAGACATTCAGATCGTGGCGGGCAGCTTTCATTTCATCACCAAGTGCTCTTTATCCGGTCAAATGTGTTCGAATTATCTGTCTTATTTATGATCATATCAAAGCATCGTAGGATATGGCTTGGGGACCTTCATCTCGCCACACGCGTCTGACCAAAGCACGTTCAATTAGGGGCTGGACATGTCGATTTTCCCATCTGGCTGTAAGTAGGTTGTAACCCATGGACTTCCAGCTACCATTGTACCAAGATGTACTTAGGCGGATTCCTCACATCATCTTGGTCAATAACACATTTCGATTCTTTCTCCAGTGAACCAGAACTTGAGGCTTCATACGAACCAAAATAGGCACACACGTAGCAAAACTGCTTTTGGAAACCTGGCTTACGCATACAAGGTGCTGTCTTCCTGCCCTCTCGTTACATTCTGTTTCTCATATAGCTCAGTACCTTAAGGCATACGAATTCCAATCCGCTGATGAAACTACACATTACTCTGGCCTTTTGAAATGGGACACCAGTCCAGTCCAGCTATCTTCACTGTATCCCTTCTGGACCTTTTGACACGTCTCCAAGCCCCAGTCCGTCACTCCAACCATCAGGGAGCTCTCAAACATGAAAGCCATGCTTCCCTCGCCGATCTTCTGCGGCTTCAACTCGGCATTCGACGCCCGCTCAAACGTGCTAGCATCAGGTCCATGCGCAGACATGACGTTATGTAGACTTGCTCCAGCAGGCTGGAAGCCGCCACCAGTCTTTGCGTCGTAGTCGCCACAAATGAGGCCCATAAACTCGGACATCGTGTTCCGGTGATACCATGGAGGGCGAAATGTGTCTTCCTTCACAAGCCAACGAGGCGGGAAGATGACAAAGTTGGCCACGGCTGTGCCTGGGTGGTCCGATGGGCCAGTGAGAACGGTGTAGATGGACGGGTCTGGATGGTCGAAAGAGATGCTGCCTATGACAGAGAAACGGCCAAGATCGTACTTGTATGGGTAGTATTGGCCATGCCAAGCCACAACATCGAATGGCGTGTGGTTCTGTGTTGCAATGAAGAAGTCTCCGTTGAACTTGTTGACAATTGACCACTGGCTTGAATCCTCATCGAAGGCTGCGGTCGGAACTTGAAAGTCCCGTGCGTTGGCCAAACAGTTGGAGCAAATGGGGCCCAGTTCTGGAAGCACAAAATGACCCTGGTACAGCTCAAGGATGTATCCTCGGACTGGCCCATTAGGAAGATTGACTTGGTATCTGATACCACGTGGAATGACGGCAATCTCGTTGGGCCGGACTAGCAAGTTACCCAGCTCGGTCTTGATATCGAGCACACCGTGCTGGAGAACAATCAACATATCGCCATCAGAAGAATACATGGCCACGTTGGAGTCCATGCTTCGACCAGCAGCAAAAATGAAAATGCCAAGACCAGTTTTCATGCTCGGATCTCCGGCGCCACCAACTGGTCTGAGGCCACTGATCCAATCTGTCTTATTGTTGATGTCAAAAGGATCCCATCGCAACTGATTAGGGATCTGGTGGAGTTTGCCTCCCGAGTCGGGTCTATTTTGCTTCAACGGCTCAAAGGAAGAATGTGAAGCTGCTGGAATAATTCGATAGAGCCAAGTCTGTAGGTTTCCATGACGAGGCGCTGTGAATGCAGTGCCAGATAACTTCTCTGCATACAAGCCGTACGGCGCTTTCTGTGGAGAATTGGCACCGATGGGAAGAGCCCCTTTGATCGCTTCTGATCTAAATGAATTTTGGTTAACATCATCCCGACGAAACGATGGGTATTGACGCTAGTACTAATGCAAGGATCCTGAACTTACTCATGAAGAGACCCAAATCCGTTGAGGTACTCGTACTTCTCCTCGGTGGAGAAATTTGTCACTGGCATGTTTGTATCTTGGATGAGGAAAGTAATCTCGAACCCCACTTATAATTGTCAAGATGGACGAGATAGATGTTGAGGATATCTTGAAAGCGTGCCTCGATTGTTTGGTATGAAACAGTAATATTTGTCCTCCTCGATCGCAAATCTTATGTGTTATAAGAAGCTTTGGTTTTCTGTACGTTTGGGTGGCACATGTGGTTGGGTGCACACATTGGGATAGCACCGCTGCAGTGATCCGAATGGCAAGGCAAATGAAACGTAATGGAATCAATGCTACGGAACTAATAGTCACAGAAACTTACGTTCACTGCGAGACGAAGTGTTTGGAGTCAATTCATGTGTATTTTCGGAACTGCGGAACACGGACTGTTCCGAGTTACCTGGTTGCGGCTCGGCTGCGGCTCATGGATTCGGCACCGGTAGGAGCGTAGATACTGGGAACAAGAAAACACGATGGCATCAAATATCACTTCACCATGGGCTCCAATCATCTGGTGCATGACGCAAAGGAAGCTCAAAGCCATAAATGATAAAGCTGCGCGGGAGAGTACCAAGATCTCCCAACGGCATCCTTGTCGCAACGAACTCGCCATGTAGATTCTTAAGTTTCGATGTTTCATTCTCATTAATGACTCTTTATAAAAGTAAATGCAATCGTCAATACCAATGAAAAGCCAGTACGTTGTGCCTGGGTATTACTCCAGACAGAATAAAGAAAGACGTGGCAACTCACAAATGGAGATTCCTCCTGCGGCACTTGCTGTTGAGTGCTTTATCAAGCGATGGCATGATACTCTGCTGTATTCAATTCTATAATTTCGAATTTACATATGTCTCTCATGACTTTACATCGAAATAGGAGGCAGTATTTGGCCGACACACTCTCCGAATCCAACTAATTGACCATCCTGTTCGCCAGCCCAGCCTCGAATAACTACCGTATCGCCGTCTTGAATGAACTTCCGCTCTTGCCCTCCATTCAGCTTGATTGGAGTTTTGCCCCCTTGTGACTGCTCCAGCAAGCTCCCCTGCGTACAGTGGGGTGCCACAAGTTCGTGTACACCCCACCATTGCCCAACCTCCCGCATTTCCACCACCATACTTCGACTGGCCGCAGAACTGTCAAACTTTTGATTTGTATGGCAAAACTATGGGCAAAAGAAAGCCCTGAGTTTGCTCTTTAGTATCGTGTATACCACCCTTGTGCTTGAATTACTGCCGCAAGTCGGCGCGGGATAGAGTCGATTAGACTCCGAATCTTGAGTTGTGGGATGGCTTCCCACGCCGCCCTTAATTGCACTTTCAACTCTTCTATATCTAACTCATTCCTCCTTAAAGTGAATGCTTCTGGGCATATTCTACGCAAGTTAGACTTCATCATACGCCAGCAATGCTCAATTGGGTTCAGATCGGGCGAATAAGGAGGCCATTCGAGCCAGGAGATCCCCTGGGCCAATAGCCACTCTGTCGTACGATTTGCCGAGTGAATAGGGGCATTATCCTGGACAAAGTGCCGTGTCTCGTCTGCGTGAGGTAAATACCCTTCCTCTAGGCATTGTATATAGCTGTTTGTACTGTAGACTTGCCGTCGGGAGGCACCGTCGCGAGTGAGAAAGACCAATCCAGAGCGACCATCTTGCCATACCATTGCCCATACCATAATAGATATATATATTCGCCTTAACGTGGCTCACAAGATTGATGAATCTCTTGCTCCAACGGTCTTGCTGTAACCTGAACACCCACTCTGTTGGGGCAGAGGTGTTGTTCTGGCATGAAGACTCGTCAGAGAACTGGCACTAGATACTCAAGAATTAGAAAATGAATCTCCATACAAGGCCTTGCCACCAAACCACATACTGCCATCAATTCTTCTGGGTTTCGGATCCAGTTTCTTGCAAATTCGAGTCTCTTGGCCGCTGCTTCTGGTGTTATAAAGGGCCGCTTCATAGCTCTCCATTTACGGTAGCTTCCCTTCTTGAGAACACGCTTAATAGTGCGGAGACTAGCTCTGCCTTGCCACTCAGCAGCGAGCTCATGGTACGGTTGCCGGTAGTTGATTCGAACAGATCTGACTAGAGCCCTTTTCTCCGTATTAGAAAGATTCTCTGTCCTTCCTTTCCGGGGCAGCGACTGAAAGCCGTTGCCTTCAGTGTATCGATGAACCGTCTTCTGCACCGTCGAATGTGGCAGGCCGAAGAGCACCGCGACCTCGCGGTAGCTTTTACCAGCCATAACAAACGCGGTAATCGCTACTCGCTGGACTTCTGTGAGTTCATACTTAGCTCTGTGACTCCCTATTATTCCAGAGCAAAAAGCATGTATTTTGGCCTCCATTTGCTAAAGTTGTGGTATGTGGAAGAAAAAGAGGTGTTGGGGAGAAAACGCGTCGGAACGCGTGGTGGTGGGGTGTACACGAACTTGTGGCACCCCACTGTACCTGCTTCGTCCCCTGAAATGGTACCGGAACCGAGAAGGTCTCCAGCACAAAGGTTACAGCCAGAGATTGAGTGATGAGCCACCATCTGCGGCCAGGACCAGAGAAGATTCCTGGCAGATGTGCGAGTGATGGTTGATTTCTCGCCTTCTGAAGCTACATGATCAGAAAGAAATTCTTTGATTAGCCCTGGTTTCTTCTAACGTAGCACAACTACCACTTGTGTAGAGTGGTCGGGGATTTCAACTTACGAGCAAGAGACACTTCTAACTTGATATCAAGAACATTATCGGACCGGCTTTCTTGGAGATACTTCTGCAACTGGACTTCATTCTCCAGTCCCTTTGTTCTGAATGGTTCGAGTGCGTCCGCAAGCACAACCCAGGCGCTAATCGTGGTTCCGAAGTTCTTTGCGTTGAACGGACCAAGGGGCACATATTCCCATTGCTGGATATCTCTTGCACTCCAGTCGTTCATCAAGACGTAGCCGAATATGTGCTCGTCGGCATCTTTTACAGATGCCGGACTACCGAGGTCGTTTGGCTTGCTGATGAACATGCCCATCTCGAGTTCAATATCGAGGCGCGCACATGGCCGGAAGACGGGCTCGGTCGCGCCAGGAGCCGGCAGCGCCTGTCCCCATGGTCGCCTGAGGGGTGTTCCAGAGACCACGACTGAGCTTGCACGACCGTGGTAGGCGACTGGCAGATGGCTGTAGTTCGGCTGAAGGGCGTTGGCTGGTCCACGGAACAGAACACCAACGTTGTGAGCATGGTTTCTGCCAGCAAAAAAATCTGTGTAATCTCCGATGGCGAATGGGAGGTGCATAGACACCTCTGAAATGGGTCTCAAAGCCGCCTTTCTGAGGCTTTCATTATCCTTCAACACGTCCGGGTGGGGCGTGTCGTTGAGGAATATCTCCTGCAGATATGAGCGGACGGCGCGATGCACAGGTCGCCCAAGCTCTGCAAAGGCGTTCGGAGTGGGCTGTGAGAACGCTTTAGCGTGCTCGGAAGACACATTTGCTGCTTTACTGAAGCCTCCGCCCGTAGCAAAAGCGTCGAGGTCGAGGATGTGTTCCCCAATGGCGATAGCGGGTCTGTGTGCATGCTTATCTTTGCTCGAAATCACCCCGAAAGGAATGTTCAGCAGCGAAAAGTGCGACCGGGGCGGTATGGGCAGCCAGGACTTCATCTTGCGTAATTAGACGTGAAAAATACTAGTATTCCAACTGAACCAACGCCTAATAACTCGCGTATGTCTAATCTCTTATTTTAACATGCTTCCGTTTACACGTTCGTAATCGCTGTGGCAGCCATTTACATGGCTGGTTCCGAGAATCCGAATTATGGTTCCGAGTCATCGGAATGTGTCACGAGTTATGGCACACAGCAATGGGCATACGGAGTGTGGTAAAGTGGCTTAACCTATCAAAGTGGAAATAGACAAAAGAGAAAGGTCTATATACAGGATGTATGTGATATACACGTGATACAGCACGTGACGGGCGCTTCGTGAGATGCGGTTACTATCCCTGTTACGTGACAGAATGCAAACAACCCCCTCTTTCAACCACGCATCTGCCACTGTGGTCGTTTCAGGGATTTTCGGCAGTGGAAATGTCTCGGCATCTTTATTACTCATCCAAGTGTAAAAACAACAGACAAGAAGTTTGATCTCGAGGGGGGTTGGGTCTGCCTAGTTCAACTCTTAACGCCATTCACTAATCGAATTTCATGATACCACAATACCACGCCGTCCCACAATTTGTGATCCTCTGGAAGAGTCGAATCATTATTTCCATCAAGATGTCCGAACAGATTACTAGAATTACTCTTTTCAAGATTCCAGACGAGGAGAATCAAAATAAAGTACTGGCGCTCTACCAGCAGATGCCCCAAAAGGCCTTGAAAGTGAGTATGATCACGTGGGCCTCGAGGATGAAGTCCATCGCCTTCTAGATAGCATTTCTTGGATACCACATGATGAGCTCTGAGCTTACCAATTGCAGGACGGCAAGCCATACATTATTTCGGTGAAGGTCGGTCTAGCTGTTGCTGATCAAAGGGCCCAAGGGTTCACGATTGCAGCTGTCTCTACATTCTCATCGAAAGAAGATATGGATTACTATGACAATGGTTGCGCTGCTCATCAAGAGCTGAGGGGCATTACCAAGGGTGCTCACCAAGGCTTCGCCATGGTCTTTTTCAAGGATCAAGTCACAAAGTAGACTCGGTTGCTCTCGACTTGTCTTTAGCTCAGGAAAATACTCAGTTATCCAGCCTTTAACCAAGATGTGTTGCAAAAAGTCGTCCCAATGTGAAACTTTTACACCAGATGAAAGAAAAACAGGTACACGGAAGATGCTTGAAGTTCCAACACATTAGAGTAGAGCTATGATTTGCAGTCATCTTCCGACTTTGTACAGTGTACTTCATGATTCCCTGCCTGAGACATATTACACGATGGTGTCATCTGAAGTTGGAACAGCGCATAAAGAATTGGGAGACACAAACTCATTCTTCTAAGAGTGGATTTAGAAACTCGGCCCCAAAAGCATACAAGGCCATAAAGTATAAAGCCATACAAAGAGGATGCGGCAAATATTCAGCAGGCCTTATATATGTATGTCGAAAGAAAGTTCTTTGAGAAAGGAAATCATAAATGGAGAGAACTAGTGTGGGAATTCCAGCAGATAACAAGCACATAGAGTTCCGTCTCGCCAAAAGGAACTCATATCCACACAGAAGTCTCCGACAGTGACTTATTCACTCCTAGTTCTTCCTTACTTTGATAGTCCAATGCAAGCAAAGGCCTGCCCGAGTCCCTCCTGAAGGCCTATCTGCGTCATTTGCATTCGGCTTACCTGGAAAGTGTGTTAGTACAGTTTCAGTGTCTAGAAACAAAGCTTTTCACTTACACTTGAGCAACTCGTGCAACTGAGTTCTGCATTGCTGAGGGTCTTCTCTCAGCCAATCGAGAGCGGAGGCCAAAGTTGAACCTCTTCCATTGGTATTACACCACAAGCTTCCGTCGGCGTCGTTATTGGGCTTGACAACGTGGATGGTGAACTTGTACGAAGATACAGTGTCTTCGCTGTCGGTTTCAAAGACCTTGATACCCTTGGTCTTGACTAGTTTGCCATCGACCGCAGCACCAAACCACTTATCGTCACTCCATTTCTTCTTGTTAGCATCTTTGCAAAACTCCTCAACCCAGCCAGTGGCTGTCTCTCTGTCAAACCTCAGACCGCCAAAATTACATGACTGTGTCCATTTAGCACCTGGTGCCGATGTCGTAGAGCTGGTCTTTGGGGAAGTTGAATCCGGCGACCGCGAAGTTGTTGTTACCGTTGTTTTGGCTGCCACAATCGTGCTGGTATAAGAAACTGTCCACGTTCGAGGTTGGCAACCGCATGCAAATCCCCTTCCCATCGACAGAGCAAGACACTCCCCGATGTCTTCTCCGGCGCAGCTGATAGTCCCACACTCCTCTGCACCGCACGGAATTGGCGTCAGTGTCAGCGATTGTGTCAGCACCGTAGATGTGATTGTTGTTGGTGAGTCGGTCATTGTTGTCGTAGGCTTGTACGAAGTCGTTGAAGATGAAGTGATAGTGGAAGTCGCATATGGCAACTCGCAAACCCCAGGGTCCGAACCATCTGTCCGCGCAACATCACAGCTCGGCCATTCCCAACTAATTTGGATGGTCCACGCAGATTGCGGAAGAGCTCGAAAGACGTTCCACTTGGTCTTGAAATCCCGGTACTTGGCATCCTCGTTGATCTGAGAGATTTCTCCAGATCGCGCATCTAGAGCGGCAAGACTCTGAGCGATATTCTGCTTCAGAGGCTCAACCTCACTCGGAACTAAAGCTTTGAGACCACCTTCAGGATGGTCAACCAGAGCGTCCATCCAAGCTCGAAAAAGTGGCGCAAAGAAGCCACCGAGTTTGGTGAAAGGCTGCACAGCGGGATTTTGTGCTGCCAATTCATTGTCAAGTCGTCGACTGCAACAATATGTACTTAGCAAAGTTTGTCTCAAGTCCCAATGTCTCAAGGCCAATTGCGAACTCACAACTCGTTGTATATCCTCTTGTTTGTAATCTGGGCTAGTCCCATAGCCACTTCCTTGTTGCTCAGGATTACTCCATGTTGGACTCGAAGCAAGGTGTCCATCTTCGAGCTCATATTTCGGATAGCTTTGTCTATTGGATTTCCGACTACTTTCAACGTGCGCGCTTTTTTAATTGTCGACTTGAAGGTTTTCACATTCCAAATGAGTCCCTGCGATGTATGTTAGCAGCTTCTCCGTCGCTTCCTCAACCGTACAAGATTTCGGACAAACCTTCGCGTCTCCATTCAATGCCTGAATCATCCCGATGAACCCCAAGTTGGTATTTGAAGGCAGTGCCCGGAAAACATCTCGCAGAAGATTCTGTGTTCCCACTGCAGCTTGGTTTTTGGCACTGAAAATGTAACGCTTGAAGTCGCTGCAGGTCATTTCGCTCGTTGCGCTATCAGAGGTCTCGTCCAAAGACACTGCGAGCTGACCGTCGCGCCAGAGCGACCTCATTACTCTGCCACAGACCCAAGAGATATTCTTTTCGGATTACTTGGCATACTCGAAGAAAGTGAGAAACAAAGTCTCCGAGTAGACTACTCGCTTTCCAAGGAAGATGCTTTTATCAACATTACAACCACTGTACTAGATTCTCCTAGCAGCGGGCCTTCTTGCTTTTGTCTCGATTCCATCAATCCAGACCGAGATGGGACACTGCCAACATGGGTTCCTGACTGGCAAGCCATAGGCCAATATGGCGTGGAGACGATGCCGATCAGCTACAGCTATGGATTCAAAGCATCTGCAGAGAGAAAACAGCGTCGAAGAGTCTCTGACTGCCTGGTAACACAAGACGGCAGAACTAGCATATTCCAGCAAGGATGTTACGTCGATAAAGTCACAGAAGTGATGACAGCTCCCACATGGGAGCGGACTGATGTATATACTGCGTCAGACCTACAAAGGCCCGATGACTGGTTTCTTGCGGTCATTGATTTCACCGGTCTAGGGCCCGAGCCTGATCCTGAAGAAGACCATATTTGGCGCTTACTCAGGCATGCTGCTTATCGGAGGGTCAAGGACAACCATTTCTACGCAGTCACTGCAGAAGTCACTGACCTTTGGCGGAGAATCATGCGAGTTCAGCCTCTGGATGCGGCGACGTTGACCACAGAAGAGACGGGGTTCATTATCAAAAGTACTCGACGCCGTGGGCACCCCTCGAGATCCGATGAACACATTAGTGTGAGTGACAAGGACCTAAGCAGTTTTGCGGAAGAGGCGCGATCAACAATAGTCGCTATCAACAGGAACCGCACGCTCTTCAAGACTGCAAAAGGGAGAGTTGGTATCGGGCACGTGGGAGTCGACGTAGACGATGTGGTGACGTTGATTTGGGGGGGCATCTTCGCCTATCGTCTTGAAACAACGGGCTGAAGGGGACTTCTACTTTGGGGGAGACACATACATAGACGGCATGACGTACGGAGAGTTCCTCCAGACTGAGCCAGAGGAAGTGGAGTTTAGAATATTCTAGTGTCTCGGCGGAAACTGAAGCATACACAGCGAAGCAACCGGGCACAGAATCAACTTGTAACTTTCGTCTCATTAACATCAACAACATGTCGACATTCGTGAACACCTTTCCTCCCCTATATCTAAGAAACCCAGTAACGAAACCGGGACTCTAGCACTGGAGCACGGTGGGAGGTTAAGAACCCTCCCTCGCGTCTCTCTCTCTCTCTCTCTCTCTCTATCTAGCCTGTGTATGGGATCAAAAACTTTTATTATAAAGCCCCGACCTCCAAAATATGACAACGTAAAAGCCCGTTCTCCTCGCCCCCCCCCCCCCCCCCCCCCTCTTCTTGTTTTGCCTTCCCTCGGCCCCAGGAGCCAGATGAGAGAAAAAGGTAGAAAAAGTGTGTGGTCGGGTCGCCGCGGAGAACAAAAGGGGAGGGGGGCGAGGGGGGGAGGAAATCATTCATTTCCATTCATGGACACATACAGCCATTTTCTTCACACTCTCACACACGCACGGACCAAAGGGCGTGAGTATGTGCCGCGTGTTTTCTGCAAATTACGTCGACCGGGGGAAGACAGCCTTGCCAGCAGCCTTGGCAGCGGCGAGGGCGCCAGACAGACCAAACTGGGAAGAGAAGCCGTCGATGCGGTGGGTGGCGTTGAGGTTCTTGACGACGACCATCTGGAAGCAGGTGGCGCTGCCCTGGCGGGAGGCGATGACGGACCAGGCGAGGAAGAGCTCCCAGATGCGGTACCACTTCTGGCCGTACTTTGCGTTGACGGTCTCGGCGTTGCCGAGCCAGTTGCGGTACCAGCGCCAGAGGGTGCCCGAGTAGTGGACGCCGACGGTGTCGATGCTCTTGATCTCCCAGCCGGCGCTCTCGAGGCAGCCGACGTAGTTGGCGAGCGGGGTGGAGGCGTCGGCACCGGGGAAGATGTGCTTGTTGAGGTAGAGACCCCAGATGAAGTCCTCGTATTGCCAAGCCTTGCGGAGACCGGAGAGCTGAACGTACATGGCGCCGTCATCCTCGAGCATGTCGTAGCACTGGCGGAAGAAGGTGGTGAGTCTGCGGATACCGACGTGCTCGCCCATCTCGATCTGGGAGATCTTGTTGAACTTCTTGGTAGGGATGTCGCGGTAGTCCATGCAGAGGATCTGGGACTGGGTCTCGGGGACACCGGCGCGGCGGAGGCCGTCGTTACCCCAGGCGGCCTGGTTGCTGGCAATGGTGGCTCCGGTGACCTTGGCTCCGTAGTTGACACTGGCGAACTTGGCGAGGGTGCCCCATCCGCAGCCGATATCCAGCATGGTCTCGCCCTCCTTCAGGCCGAGCTTCTCGCAAACGACGGCCATCTTGTTGTCCTGCATCTCCTCGAGGGTCTCCTCGCGGGTGAGGTCGGAGAAGATACCACTGGTGTAGACCATGCGGGGACCGAGGAAGTAGGAGTAGTGGTCGTTACCCTTGTCGTAGGTGGGCTTGATCTGGTCCTCATCCTGCTGGCGGGAGTGGAAGAGAACATCGGGGGCGAACTCGAGGAAGATGAAGCGGAAGAGGGAGTAGGTGAACGCGAAGTTGGACCAGTCGTGGCGGTACTCGAGGGCGTCGAGGAGGTCGCCGTTGATGTCGACGAGGCCCTCGGTGTAGAGCTCAGCAAAGGTCTGGATGGGAATCTTGTTGCGGCCGCTGAACTGCTTGCGGTCCTCCTCGTTCTTGAAGGTGAGGTAGTGCTCGACGGGGCGGCCGGGAAGCTTGGCCTTGTCGTTGATGCGGGGGGAGAACCTTGAGGAGACGGTCCAGAAGGCGATCAGGAGAGGGACGACGAAGAGGATGAAGAAGAAGATGAAGGTCTTGAGACCGCCGCCGAAGATGCGGGTGATCCAGAGAGGAACACCAGCGAGAACAGCTCCGAGGATCCAGTTGGAGAAGGATTCATTGCCGGGGCCCTCGGCAGGAAGAGGAGGGTTGTTGATGGTGGGGTACTGGACAGGAGAGAAGGTCAGCTTGGGTCTGGTACGAGGAGAGACAAGACAATTGAGCTTGCTGATGCTTATTCGCAGCCGATTGAGACAACCCGCGGAATAGGGTTTTGTGGGAAGAGACTCCTTACGTTGGTGGTCTTGACACCGCAATCCTCGCCAACGTTGAACGTGGAGGGCTTCGCGGCAGGGGTCGCGATGAAGGTGATGTCACCCTCAAGTTGCGCGCCGTCCTTGCGCTTTTCGTCAGCCATGGTGGACGATGTAAGCTGATGGTGCTTTTGGTAGAAAGAAAAAGCTCCGCGGTTTCGATCCTTTGTCGCGCGCAGCTTCGTTCTCTAACCGCGTATCGGGGATACAAAGGAGGAAAGGTGGTTGGAGATGCAGTTGGAGACACGGCTTGAGAAAAGGTGTGGACAGATTTAAAGCTGGAGCTGTTTCCGACGCGGGTCGCGACCACCCAACAGTGGACGGGGGGGGGGGGGGGTTACGGGGTTACGGGGTTACAGTGGGTGGTTACTTGGCATCTAACAGCGTTTCTGTCTTGGCCTAACCGCATTGTGCGTTTCTCGGACGCCGCTGGGCCCGCCTTTGTGGGCAATTTTATGCAGGGGCGCTGATAAAAGAGGGCAGCGCAGCACACAACTGGCTGAGACGACCCTGGCAATCCCAAGGACCCGAGTGGGCAATGCACTGCCAAGTCAGTTGAGGCCACGAATTCACCAAATGTCAGGAAAGTATTCGAGAAAAAAGTCTTCACCGCCCGGAGGCCGGAAGGGTAGGGGGCTTTTCTGGGCTTTCTAGACCGTCCAAGGTCTCTCCATTCCCCAGATCTTGGTTGAGACTTGATAGCCAGTCAGCCACGCACAGCGTTGCACAGAAACGGTAGAACCTAACCGTCCAATTTCACCCTTCCGGGTTATGGGTTTAGATAACCCGGGCCGTCCACAGCAACTGTCCAGGACCTGTCCATACTGAGATGATGATGGTCACGTCGAGCCAATCAGACAATGCACATTTGCGAAAACAGCCTGGCCAAAATGAGCGGTGATGGGATTCAATCATAGAGTAGCGAAATGACGCCTAATTGTAGTTGTGCCGTTCAAATGTGCATCTTGGTTCTTGCATGGAATGAGATGGAGAATCCGATTTCGGCCGAGAGATGGCACGACGCTAAGGTGCATACGTACCTTGAGATAAGGTATCAGATATTCGAGTACGAAGTAATTACATAAGTAACTCTCCGGTTATCGAAGAGAGCCAAAGCTTCCAACAGCATGCACGGTGCAGATTTGCTCCGGACCCGATCCGGGGTCCATCCGGGTTTCGGGACGGCGTTGGTGGGTACATCGAACGGCAATGTGGAGCCCGGTTCCGAACCATCGTTACATTGCAGACGGTGCTGAGACTTCGGTTGGAAGGATCGAGGGCCCTGTATCCCGAAAAGGTAAACCGTATTCAATGGCACTTGAACCAATCAAAAATGCAGCCTTTTGAGTGGGTCACCGTCATTGACTGGGCGTAACAGATCCGTTCCAAAGTTTCAAAGTCCCTGATTCGTACATCTCCAAGGCGTCTTTGAGGTGCTCTATAAGTAACTACAGCTAATAACCAGATTCAAATCTAGATCTCTAGCTCAATCGTTCAACATATCCCACTACATTATTCAAATCCCATACCGCCCACCACTACAAATCACAATGTCCCTCTCAGTCCATGAAGTAGCAGCCAGCGCAGTCCAAGCCAGGTCCCGCATCAAATCCCACATCTACACAACCCCCCTCCTCCCAGCCCGCGTAGCAGGCCACGACAACAACGCAACCGTCCTCTTCAAAGCAGAAAACTTTCAACTAACAGGCTCCTTCAAACTCCGCGGCGCAACCTCCAAAATCTCGGCATCCCAATCCCAATACACTTCAGACAGCAGCAGCAGCACCACCACCACCACCACCACCACCACCAAAAAGCTCATCACCGCATCCTCAGGAAACCACGGCATCGGCGCCGCCCACGCAGCCCACGCCCTCAACTGCGCCCTAACAGTCGTCCTCCCAGAAACAGTCTTCCCCGCCAAACTCGCCAAAATAAAATCCTACGGCGCCACCGTCATCCTCCACGGCGCAGAAACAGGTCTCGCGGAGCAACATGCCCAACAACTCGCCGCCTCCGGAGAGTATACTTACATCTCACCCTACAACGACCCCCTCGTCGTAGCGGGACAAGGAACAATCGCCCTCGAAATCCTAGAGCAGTGCGCGGCCCAAGGAATCCCCCAGCTAGACAACATCTTCATATCCATGGGCGGCGGCGGCCTCATCAGCGGCATCGGCTCCGTCCTCAAATCCTTTGCTCCCAACGTCAGAATCTTTGGTGTGGCGGCGACGAATTCCCAGGCTCTGGCGGAGTCTATCCTCGCGGGAAAAGTCGTCGAGACGGAGCACCTGCCTACCCTCGCCGAAGCGGTCGCGGGCGGCATGGACGAGGACTCGATTACGCTGCCGCTTGCGAGGGAGGTGGTGGATCGGGTTGTAGAGTGTAGCGAGGAGGAGATTGCGGATGCGATGAGGAGGATTGCGGTGGAGGAGAATATGATTGTCGAGGGGGCGGCTGCGTTGGCGCTGGCGGGGTTTGAAAAGGTCAAGGGGGAGGTTGGGGGCCAGACGAGTGTTGTTTTGCTTTGTGGGGGAATGTTGATCAGGGGGTTGTGAGGAAGGTTGTTTATGGGTTGAAGTAGTCATGGGTGCTGTGTGTGGGCTTGGAAGATTGTGTCTCCCTACACAGCTGGGGAGGCTTCTTGATAGGTATGGTCGTTTTGGAGAGTTTTTTTAGAGATGAGCTCAAGCTGATAGCCATACGCTAGATAGAGCCAAGCTCGGAACATGTTAGACTTCCAGTACATAAACATGATATGATGGGTACGAAGTATTTACGTATTAGGAGCATTGTAGCTCCGAGTCTACCGGGACCTGTCATCCCTCATTTATGACGATGAGATATTTCCAAACACGCCAAAACACCGAGCCTAACCAGGCAACCCCTCCCAAACCTCCCACAAAACCTCATCTCATCTTACATCCACATCAAATTCCGGCTCTGCCTCCGATTCTGCTGCCACAATGGCCTCTCCTCAGACCCATCGGGCCTGTGACCCGCATTCGTCGCCCCAGCGCCAGCGCCATGGGGGCTCCCGTGTCCCGCGCCATCCGTACCGGAGCTAGTCGCCCTATGCCCCTCGCGCCCAACAGCATCGTTGTATCCTCTCGAAAACTCCGCCATCTCGCCTTGGTGCGTGAGCGGGGTATCGTCGGCCGTCGATCGGGACGCGCCGGACGCAGAGGCGCCGCTGGCGGGGTTATATCCTCCGGGGGCGGACGACGGCGGCGTGTTGGCGGATCGGCCTCCGCTGATGGAGGTGGTGTTGCCGTGGGCGCCGGGCATCATGGACGGGTGGCCGTAGCCTGCTTGGTCAAACATCATCTCGCCGCCGGGCACGGGTGCAAAGTCCTTTTGGTTGGTTTGGGGGCTGTGGGAGAGGTTAGTTTCGTTGGGTTCAAGTATGTGCAGGGGTGGGGGTAGACTTACACATAAGTGGGACCTTTACCGGCGCCAGGACCAAGACGCTTGTTGCCACGCTTGCGCTTGCGCATCCAGAGTGCCACGGAGACGAGGGCCACGAGCATAGCGCAGCCGCCGATGACACCGCCGATGATGCCGCCATTGCGTCTCAGTCCTGCCGCAGCAGCCTCGGCGTTCACTGGAGGAGCGCTGCTAGTAGCTGCTGGCGCCGACGAGGTAGATGATACCGATGATGTTGTGGAGGTGCTTGAAGATGAGCTGGTGGTGGAACTGGTGGTTGAGCTCGAAGAGCTTGAAGTTGTAGAAGAGCTGCTTGAGGAGCTTGAGCTGCTAGAGGAAGAGATGCTTGATGAAGCGGTCTCCTGCCTCGTGACGAGACCCGAGATGTGCGTGATGGCCACCGTCGTGCTGAGTCCTGATGCGGTGGCAGCGACAGTTGTACCCTGGCTTGTCGTGCCGCATCCATACTGGTATGCGCCTCCGTCGAAGCTGTTTCGGTAGCAGACATTGGAGCCCTGGCAAGTGAAGATGTACGGATCCGAAGCCGTTTGGGTGGGGCTGTTCTGGTCGACACAGCTCGTGTACACGCCCGTCGTACAGGCGGCACCGTTCGGACAGCAGCCGATGGCCGAGATGGAAGCATCCATGGCGCAGTGTGAGCCAGCTGAACATGTCGCTGGGAGATTCGGGTCACCGCCGAGATAACCGCAGACGGTGTTGGTGCTGTCATCCTGCCTCCTCATAATACCCAGCCATGGTGCTGGCGTTGCCAGCGGCCAATTACGGACGTCCAGTGTCCGGTAGGCGATGTGAACTTGAGCTTGCTCTGTTTGGCGGGGGAGAGCGCCGGCTTCGGTCAGGGCGAAAACATTCGAGAGAAGCAGTATCGCGGCGGTAGGCGGCAACCGCGCGAAGCAGTTGTTGTACAACATCTTGTTGTTGTAGGTACGTAACACTGCGAGAGGACCCTTCTCCTGGCTCGGCCCTTCCTGGGACTTTCGTTCCTATTCCCGTTCCAAACTTGACCTCCGCTGGGGACCGGGATGAGTTATGATGAGAGTTGTTGCTCGGTGGTATCCATATAATTAATAACAGAGCAAAGAATAAAAGAGACTAGGAGAAGGAGACGTGAAATCTAGAGTGACAAGTAAAAAGGACCAGGATAGGCAACAAAAAAAAAAGGAAAAGAATGAGGAAGAAGAAACCGATGCTGACGAGGGATTGGGCGACGGAGTGTAATTTAGATCGGAACAGGGACCTGTGGAAGGGTGGATGGAAGGGGGGGGGGGGGGGGGGGGGGGGGGCGTTCATCCTCCGGGCCCCCGGGGGGGCGACGCCAACGAGGCTGACGCTCATTGGGGAGCCGTGTTTCAAGGATCTTCCGATCGTGAGCATACCAAGATTTCGACTCTCTCACTCGAGAGAAAGAAGGGGAGGAAGGGCTACCCCCCTCCCAGGGCCCCAAAATGCAACAAGAAAGCATGCCTTGCCGTCGCATCACAGCCCGCAGATTCGCACCGCTCGGGGCGTTACCGGGGTCTGAAGATCTCTTGGGATCGTTGGGGCCCTTTGCGGCGATTTGGGACCTTTGGAGGGGGACGTTTCTGCCGTGTGCCGTGGCGATGAGAGATAAGCGCCGCCCGGGACCAGTCCGTGCGGATCTGAGAACCGCGCAGGCAGCAGAAGGTGAAGGAGGCTCGGTGCCGGTGAGAGTGCGAAATGAGGCTAGTGACTCGAGCTACGGGTGCTACGTAAGAAGAGAAGAATTGGCAGACGGAATTTAGAAGAGTAGTCAGGAACAGGCGGAAAAGCATGGAAGACTTTCGCAATTTGCTTCTGCCCACCTACCGGCCGAGCGAGTCGCTCACGCTTCTGGACTGGCCTGACCTGACCCAAGTGTGATCCTGATTGCGCGATGGGGAATCATAAGACATGACGAGAGGCGGTAGAAGCCCTGCTGCGGTTCGTGATAGAGTGATCGTCCGGTTGGGGTCTCTGCTCGACGCTCGCTGTGCCCGGCTGCAGACTTCTGCGCATGGCTCCCGTGTCCTCTGCAGGAGGTGATACAGATCGTACAGAGGCACAAGACAGCGGCTGGCCCCCCAAGATGCCGAAGCTGGTGTTTCTTCTCTGTTGGAACTTGGAAGCTGTACCTGAGCCCGCCCCCTCCTCCCCCTCTATTTCTCCCATAGTCCAAGACGATCTTGGGGGCCGGCCGTCGGTCTTCTTTCAAGTTTCCAGTGTCCACTGTCCTCGAGGGGCGCCCAACTTGTCAAACTTGCATGTTGGTTCGACCGTTCGAGTCGAAATGGAACAGGGATGAGAGAAGAAAATGGTGGAAGAAGTCATTCGATGGGGGGGATATTGAAGGAGTTGGGGACCCAGCGGGGACCCAGCGGGGAGAATGGAGTTCGATCGTTGGAAGGAAGTGGGTTTGCACCCAAGAAGCAGGGGCCGTCGAGGCGCGTCGTCCTCGCTTATTTGCGCTGCCTCCACCGAGCCAGATCCTTCGGACATTACATGTTGTATTTACACGGTATTACCATACAAGACAACGACAACAAACACAGTATCACAGTGTCCGAAGATCGCAGGCTGGCGGCAGTCATGGTGCTTTTTTTAACACGCGCTAATTCCCGCCCCTGGGTGGATCCCCGTGGCGATGCTGTCGAATCAGGTAATCAGGGTCTCACGGTACGTACCTCATCGTACATACATAGTACACATGGGCAGCACCACCGCACAACATGAGAGAAACACCAACTTTGAACTCGCAGCATCATCATCCCAAGCTGCGATGAACATGTCGCACTCTTCCAAAGGGTAGTCCAAAGGCTTCATTCACCTGTGATATCGCCCAAGGCACAGAGAACAGATGCCGACATGCTGCATACGCAGTCCATTCCATTCATGCATGCATCACAGAAGCAACGCTGTGTTGTTTCATGACGACATTCCCAAGAGTCCGATTGGTGTCAGCGCGCGCGAACTACGAAGCGTGTTCTCGGACACATAACAGGTTCATCTAAGCTGCCAAAACGCCCGAGCTATGCTCCAAAGATTTTACACATGATGCCACAAGTCAAGATGAGGTACTCTGGGCAGTTGCAGTCTAAGGTAGGTATCCCTCTAAACATGACTCCCCCCCCTAGCGCCAGTCCTGTCATCGCTGTCATATCCATCCACCGCCAACGGCCTCTCCTCCATGGCAACATAGTCACCATCATCGTCCACCTCCAAACCCGCCGCCGATTTCTTCTGCTCCCTTGCCGCCTTCTTAGCCAGCTTAGACTCCCTCTTGGCTGCTTTCCTCTCCAGCTTCACCTGCTTCTTCTCCTTCCTCGACAGCCGAGGGAGCTCGCTGTTTTCGCCCCCGAGCACGATACCCGGATGCACAGCGTTGAGCAACACGAGCGCGAGCACCATAGGCAGTGCGTCAAGCCCAAACGCGTAGTTCTCGTTTGTCAGAATCGGGTTGTTCATGTTCGCCCCCGGTCCGAACTCGATCAACCGAAAGATGATCCGGATCTCCGCGAACAAAAATGTCAGCTCGGTCCGTCCATCCCGTCTTCTTGTCAAACATGTCTCTGTCATGCAGGGGCTTAAGGGTTGCAAGAAACTAAGAAAGAAAAAGAAAACTCACAATGATGAGAACCAACACTACAAACATCACCAACACCAACACCATGGCCCCGATCCGTTTCAAATCGAGGTCGAATCTCTGTGCCCGCCTCATCTTGACGTAGAAGCGCCCCATGAGCCCGCAAAAGACGACGATGAAGGCGGGCTGCAGGCCGCACCCAATCATGTACACCTGCTTGCCGGTCCGCAGAATGGGGTCGTCCGATGCGGCCTCCGTGTTGGACATCATCGACCCGCCCGCCCCTTGCACCAGGAAGCAAACGACGTCCATGGTGATAAAGATTTTTGTGAGGGCCGTCGCTTTGACGCGGAAGACGCGCTGGTCGGGCAGGACGAAGTACACGAGTCTGGCTGAGAGCATGTAGGCGAATGCATTGATCCCTGGACGGCGTCAGCTTTTTTTTTCTTTTTCGAACTTGGACTTGGACTCCTTTGCGGTTTGTCGCGCAGAATCTGATACGGTGCGATGTGGGAGGAACCTACATAGGGGAGCGAGCAGGAACAAGAGCTGCCCGCCAATCTGGTAACCAATCTGCTGCTGGTCCCTGGCGCCGAGGGACCGGAGGATGAAGGCTGTCAATTCCCATGAGGCGCCGACGCAAAGAACCCAGCAGAATCTCTGTCATTGACATTAGCTTTGGCTACTGCGATGGACAAGTAGCATTCCATACCTTCCTGTAAAGGATGGCTTGGGCAATGTGCGCGACGAACGACAGTCCAAAGAGAACGGCAAACGTAACATTCCCTTCAAAGCTGGGATCGAAAGCATAGTACGAGTTGCAGGCGTCGATCGGGACGTGTCCGTACTTGCCCAGGACTGCCGTTGTGCATGATGGCAACGAGTCGGACGAAGTAACGCTCGCGGTAGGCGCACTGGTAGATGTTGGTGTAGCCATTGTTTGTCTGAAATGCGTTGTGTGTTGAGCTTGTCATCTTACTCGGTCCGAACTTGCGTCCGAAGTCATAGGTAGTATATCCAGTGTCCCAAGGAGTCACTCTCCGACAATGACAGACATTCATCACGATATGCAGAATGAGGCTCAGCTCTGGGACTTTGGTATTGGCTTTCTTGGTTGATACAGCGCCGCGCCGCGACACTGGACGAAAAGCCTCCGAATCCTTCGAGAAGCTAGGCAGCCACCTATTGGACCCGGTCGAGCACCAAAGTCCCAGTCCAACGGGGCTCAAATGGCAAAGTTCTTAAATTCTCAAGCTCAGCCAGCCTTATGAATGATAACATTCCGCAAGTCAGCGGCTGGGTTCATCCTCCACCATGACGCGGCTCGGTTCAAAACGCTGCATCGCTAGGGCTGAAGCAGGTCCACGGCGAAGCTCATCACGTGGGGCAATGCGTCTAATTAGATACTGGCCGATGAACGTTGCGTAGATCGAGACCAGAGACAAGCCTCTCTGGTGGGTACGTCAGAAGCTTACTTGCCTATTTTGACACTTCTCTGGCTTGCGAGTGGACGATTGGTAGCCAGGTTTGGCCTGGTGAGAGAAGGCTCCATCGCGAATGCCACGAAAACGTAACGTAAATAGAGGAATGGATGCCGTAATGAGCTTGGCATCAGCTTTCGTTTGGGGCTCCGAGACACTGACTTTGCACTATGAACTGCAGGATATTGGGTCATGTCTCATTACAGGTATCTCATATGAAGAATAGTCTCACTGTGTGACTGAGAAGAAATGAAGCCGTTAGATAGCCGTATTTCCGTACATCTTACTCATCGTCACAAGATGAGTGGTGAGTCTTGGAAGGTGCACAGGGCGAAGCTTTTTTATTCTTAGCAAGGAAGCCGCCCAGCTATAGACGCTAAACCCAAAACAGACGAGAACCCAGGCACGGGCCAATGGCAGTCAGTTGATCCGACCCCGCGCAGGACCCCACTAAATTCCTCGTTTCCAGTAAAACGGGGGTCCACTTTACCCCCTGTTCTGCGCCGCAAAGACCTCTCAAGGCCCATTAAGGTAGTTGGAAGCTCAGCTATCTCACGTCCTCGGCCGACCGCCTAGCATCCTGTTTTTTCCTCTCTGTTGACCGCCTCGTCTTCTCGCGCTGCACACCGTGGCTGAGTTGGATCTTCTGCTTGCTGCATGCCGTCGCCGTTGTTCGTTTGCTTCCGCAGCTGCAAGTGAGAAATTACGCGGCATATCTTCATCAGCCCGTTCAATCAGGACGCTGACCACGTTGCGACCCTGAATTGGTTGCTGACCACCGAAAAAGGAGAGGCATCTTTTCTCACGGCTAACCCATTGGCCAATCCGAGTTGCATTTCTGCTGCAGGATCGCGTTGCACACACGAGAGGAGAGAGAGAGAGAGAGAGAGAGAGAGAGATAGAGAGGGTAAGCACCAGCCAAAATGCCTATTCGCGTCAAGTCCAAGAAAATGCCAAAGTCCCGGGACATGAGCCCCGTGTCCATGCACTTTGACACGTTTGAGCTGCCCGACATTGACACGGACGACACCTTCCGGGAGGTTGTCAAGAAGCTCTCCGTGTAAGTTTTTACCTCAGAGAACGGCAGCCCCGTCGTCTCATGCCTTTTTTCCCCCGTTGAGGGCGGCCCTTTCCCGCCCGCCCCTGGACGGGAAAACGCTTGACCGAGTTTTGCTGACTGACGGATCCGGTCTAGATACTTCACCGATGTCATTGTGCTGCCGAGCACCTTTGAGCAGCTGCGCACCACCCAGGCCGGTGAGCCGTTGCGAGTCTTGGTCGATCACTTGAATGCCACCTGCACCAACCGGGCCATCGTCAACGCCCTGCTGTAAGTCAACGCCCCCCCCGTGCCTCTCATCTACAAGAACCTCCCCAGTAGTTCAAGTGATACAACAACCACACACCAGCCTCAGTTTCTAACACATTCCAGCGCACTGAAATGGCACTATGCCGTCGACGAGGCCGAGTCCAATAAAGGCCTCTGCGAAGCCCGCGCCAACGCCTGTGAGATCGTCGCCTGGCGCTTCCTCACTCGCCTCTCGGAGCGCGAGGCCGTCGACTTCTGCCTCTACGAGATCCCCGACCCCAAGGAGCCGGCCACCCTGCCGCCCAACGCGGATCTCGAGAGCAATGAAACCTCCCCCCTGCTCTCCGGCGGCAGCTGGTCCAACCGCAGCGGCAGCCGCCGCGCCTCCGTTCGCCCGGGAAGCAGCGCCAAGCGCTACCAGCTCTTGTCCTCTCTGTCCAGGCTGACCATGAGCATGCACGCCGACCAGGACGAGGAGGAGGACGAGGACGACCCGACCTCGCCCTTTACCAAGCTCAACGCCCTCGAGATCGCCGCCGTCGCTGACGCCAAGCGCTTCCTGAGCCAGCACGTCGTGCAGAAGATTGTCACGGGCATCTGGAACGGCGACATCATCTTCTGGGACAGCCTGTCGGTCCACGCCGAGAAGAAGCCCCGCTTCTACAATGCCCACACGACCGATATCTTTTCCCGCCTGCGCGTGCCCAAGTACCTCAAGTTCTGGGAGGCGTTCTTCTTCTTCATCTTCCTGTGCCTGTACTACTCCGTGCTCGTCACGCAGAACACCGAACGCATCACACACAACGAAATCGTCCTGTACATCTGGCTCGCTGCTTTCCTCTACGATGAGCTTAGCGAGTGGGCCGATGCCGGAACCATCTTTTATGCCACGGATATTTGGAACCTGTTTGATATGATCATGATAGGCATCGGTATCACCTTTGCCGTTTTGAGTAAGTCTGGCTCTTTGGTCTCTCTCTCTCTCTTCCTATAACTAAAACATCACAGGGGTTATCGGTATCGCGAACCACGACATGAAGATGACCGACACCGCCTTCAACGTCTTTGCTCTGGAGGCCCTCTTCATGGTACCCCGCGTATTTTCCCTCCTCAGCTTGTCGCCGTACTGGGGAACCCTCATCCCCTGCCTCAAAGAAATGAGCAAGGATTTTATCAAATTCATGGTCCTCGTCGTCATCATCTACCTCGGCTTCCTCACCACCTTCTCCCTCATCGGCCAAGACGCCTACACCTTCGCCCACATGACCATGATCCTCACAAAGATCTTCTTCGGCTCCTCCTACGTCGGCATCGAAATCATGGACGACATCGATAAGGTCTTTGGCCCCCCGCTCATGATCATGTTCATCATCCTCTCCTCCTTCCTCCTCATGGGTTCTCTCACGGGTATGCTCTCCAACTCCTTCTCCCGCGTAATCACCCACGCCCGCGAGGAGTACCTCTACGTCTACAGCGTCTACGTCCTCGAGGCCTCGACCTCCAACCGCCTCACCCACTTCTACCCGCCCTTCAACCTCATCGCCCTCGTCATCTTCCGCCCCCTCCGCCTCTTCCTCCCCTCAGACGACAAGTTCCGCCACAGCCGCATCCTCCTCCTCAAGGCAACCCACCTCCCCATCGTCGGCATGATCCAGCTCTACGAAAGCATCCGCAGCCGCGTCCACTCGGACGAGTACGCAGGCTTCAAGGGACCCCGAGGCCTCACCGGCGCAACCAAGCAGCGCTCCCTCGGCGTCTTCCAGGCGAACCGCCCTTCGTCGGGGTACCGCGCCGGAAGGTCCCCGCGCCCCGCGGAGCGCAACCATTATTCCTCGCACCACTCGTCGCGCCCGCAGACCCGCGCCGCCGAGGCCGCCGACGATATGGACGCGCCTTCCGTGGTCGAGGTGCGCATCTCGGAGCTCACTGACAAGATTGATAAGCTCACTACGCTCGTCGAGGCTCTGCAGTCGCAGACGCAGCCTGGTACTTCCCCCTCCACCTCCTCTTGAAGGTGGACTACATAGTCCATTTTGGTCTAGACAGGTAACGTTCTGCCTGAACTGGATCTCCCCATCTCTGGCTTGATGTCAGGATAGTGTGTCCTACGCGCACTTGTGCGTATGTGCGTATGTGTATGTGCTCGTCTCGTCGATCAGTGAGAATCTCGGTTGGATTTATCTGCATTGCCCGGTACATTTTTCGGTGTCGTGTTTTTTTTGGTTGTTTTTTTTTTTTTGTTTTTGTTCAGCTCAGTGTGCACATGTGTTTTGTGGTTTTGCTCTTGTTTGGATGAGATGAAAAGTGTGAGACTTTTTTGAATGTAGTCATGCTGATGCCAATGTTTCTCTCGTGATTTATGTCTTGAGTGGTTGTTCGTTGGCCCTGCAGTTATAAGCGAGCAACTTGTTAATTTTGGGAGATTTATGTTTTGAGTAGCGCCGGTGTTGTAGTATTTCAGCGAATCACATTTGGTCTTGCTATTATTCAATTTGAAGACATGCGTTCTCTTGGACGTGAGAATCTAACTGTGACTGTACCGTATCTACGGCATAAGCCTGCCTGCAATGAGGCACACACGGACTTGATGACCACGTCTGTTTTGACTCGAAAGACGTGAATACTGCAGCACGAAGGAGTCGGAAAGAGATTCAATTCCCCAAGTCTCTCCTTCCTACAAGTCATCAGATTCGAGGTTCGAGACTTGGGGAGAGAAAGGTATCGTCAAGCCACCCCCACTATCCCCAATCCACAACAGAATTTTACCCCGCCCATCACCACACAAAATCAGCGCAAAAAAGGGTTTTATTTTTCTTTCAACCTTACTCTAACACCGACAGAAGCCACCACAAAAATGCAAAAAAAACAGGCTTTCGCCTCAGAGGTGGCTTCCGCCATATGGCTTTCGCCAAACAGGAATGACAAGAGTGGGATTCGAACCCACGCCAATTACTTGACTAGCACCTGAAGCTAGCGCCTTAGACCGCTCGGCCATCTTGCCTAGATGAATTGTTGTAGGATTCCCTCTGGGCGAGGGCTCAAGTTGCGTGAGCAGGTAGGTGGGTAGGTGGTGGGTGATGTGGGGGGGGGGGGGGGGGGGGGGGTCGAATATGAGAAGGAAGTCGTGTCATGCGTGGGAAGGTGGTCCTCTGCAAAATCGGAGACGTTGGATTTGCGAGGACCAAAAACGGGTTTGCGGCTCGCGCGCTTGCATGCTTGCTTTGTTTCCAGTTGGAAATTGGACCATTGGACATTGGGGGTACCCGGCCGGTTCTGTGCCGATCTTTGGACCCCACTTCCGCCGTTGGATCGGACTCAACTCCGGTGTCCTTGGCACGCGGCTGAATACATGCAATGCAAAAACGTTGAAGGTGGTGGCTGACTTTAATGTTTCGATTTTTTTCACTTCATCGATATCATGCGCTTCTCACAGCTGCAGTTGCGCGGTAATTTTTGCAGTAGAGAGTTTCAGTGGCATCTAGGCTTGGCGGTTGCAGTGGCGGTGATACCTTGACGGAGAATATCGACCTCGCAGCCATAAAGTATGCCCTAGAAGCTACTATAATTAATTCGCTTTTATTCTCATTTACTAATGTAGTTAGTTGCATACGTGTGGCGCAAGACCCGGTTGTCAATGTTTATGCAGCCATCCTAGACCTTGGAGGACCCTTCGATCAACTTTTAGAAGTAAGGACTAAAAACCGCATCCAGTTCGTCGTAGACATTCACTTATTTATGGCTCAAGGCTATGTGCCTGGGAACCTGTGTCTTACATCTTGTATTGCTTTCCTGGGCCGCAGGGTACTATTACCACACTGAAGCCCCTACCCTGTGTTGTCGAATCGTAAGGCGCGCTGTTCAACCCCGCGAGATCAACCTTGACCCATGTGAATCAAGAGCATCGTGTAATCACCACACAGCATGACGGTAGAATAGAATTTTGCACTGTATCGAAGCTCTCGGGTACATCACTCCTCATGCTCGAGGGACTTCCAAGCAGAGGATACTGCTCAGTCTGTCGCCTGCGAAATCTGTTCTCCCATCCCTTTCAGTAAGACAGTGCGAATCGATTTAACCCCGAAACTGGTTGTCAAATGCGTATATATTGTAGAAAATTTCACCAGAATTACCGTCAGCCCACGGAACATCCTCGTCGTCGTTGTGTGGGTATGGTAAATGCTGAGAGACATCAGTTCGACGAATTCGATTGACAGACTTCTGACATGGTCAATATGTAAACAAGGACCACCGTTCCCGTCCTAGATGTAAGATAATCCTAAGCGTATATTCAGTGATGAATAATCACCGTAGGCCGGGCAGGGGAACTTGGAAGTGATGATCTCTTACTCTCGTTTTCGAAAGTCTTCATCGTAGCCAACTGCAGTGTAGAGAATGTGTGACAATCCTTGACTCAGTTCAATATCCTGCTGCTCTGCGACTTCCGAACATGAATACATGACGTGCGCGGGTCGTCCCGGTACAATTTTGGGGTTCAATGATGCGAGTCTAAATACCGACGTCCCCGTGTTACATTACCACATCGATGCAGAAAGTCTAGACCTGAACCATGCCTGCTATAACGGCATTGCGCTTACCGCAAGGTACCTTGGTCATCCGCAAAGCTGAACTAGGTTCCAGGAAGCCGCATCCTTCTCATCTTAGACGTCTTTGATGAAGAGAGGCGTTCATGAAGAGGATCAGCTGCAAAGAAGGGGTATTTTCTGTGGCTAGACATAGCTGCGGTTGCCTGAGGCAGATGATATTAGGCCATGAAACAGGAAGGCGTTGGATGGTCCTACCTTAGACAAGCGAGGATTTGGCTATTACGTGTGGGATACTTGTGTATATATTTTCCATGTTATGATGAACAACAAACTATTCGGCCTTCACAGAGACTGTACCGCTCCAGCAGCTAGACTCTATAATGTCTCCGCATCAAACAAGATCATGATACACGACATTCAGACGGAGCATTGCACCCAAACTACTCCGAGTCCATCAACAGCATTAGCGCAGGAGGCCAGTTCTGATATTATTCAACGCGGTTGATGCTGTTATGCCACACGCTCGAATAGACCATCTAGCTTATGCTTAGTCTCACTGTCAGGTGTAATCAGAGTTGCGTGTGTATAAGCATGGAGTACATGATATGATCACAATCACGTCTTCATCACCGGAGGTAATGCAAGCCCCAATTCAGCCCACCTCGAGTTCCAGCCCAACAGAAGCAAGTAAAGTGCGAGCAACGTGCCTCATTTCTGCCAATACTAGAGTTGTCGTTGAACAGACGACTCGTACCTTCTTGGCTCGATCTCATACAGGGGAGACAGGTCTAAAACACGGCGATTCCGTTCCCGACGTCTTGAACCGCCTCCTTCTTCCACTTTCTGTCATGCAGGAGTATAAATATCCCCGCCGGCTACCCCAAGTAGTCATCATAGACCCAAGATCGAAACCAGCCATTGTGTTGGTGAAAAAATCGAACCGAGCATATTACGGCACTTGCGCTCCGATAAAATGCGTCGGCCATCATTACGGAGCATAGTCATCCTCCACCTCAGCTCAGTCATCGACAAGGCAGATCTCATAAAACCCAGCCATCTCGATACCTCATCATCCTTCGTCTCTTAGGTATAACCACCCGAATACACCACAACTAATAACCAGAAACCAGAGAAGCCCCCTAGAATTTGCGGTGGGGAAGCCATAGGAGGAGTCATAAAGTCTCCATCCCAGTCTCGAAACAGAATGATCTCGCAGCCACCGGTTTTGGTCACACCCCGCCCTCAACTACCACCGCCAAGCGGATACACCATCCTTTGCTCCTCCTTCTAACTTTTCACCGGGTACACTGCCTTTATATACAGAAACAAAACCGCATTACTCTCCAAAGACGCTACCTATCAAACAGAGCCCCTAAGTGCCTAGGCTCGAAGAGATCAAGAGAAGCAGCCTACCAGTCCATGTGGAAGATCGTGGATGAATCTGAAGCAGTTGTGCAAGGCGGATAACCAAAAGACCTAACCACCGCGTTCAGCTCGAACCAGTTCCGCTCAGCTGTTGTTCTATCATTATCACATTTCCTCATCTAACGAGCATCTTCCTCTTTACAATCCATTCAACACCCAACTTCACATCTCTCTCCCAACATCTACTCGCAGTCAATCTAACATCCCATAAAACACAAACGCACCAAACATCTCCTCGTTTGCAATCAACACTTTATCTAACATTATATCTACGACAGCGAGCGCCTTCACCGCCATCATCCTAAACTACCCAGGTCGGAGTCGCACAGCGCCTCAGCCGTCGACTGACAATGTGCCACACCCAGACTAATCGCTGAATATTTTCTCTTCTTCTCCGCCTTCTTCTCCATCGAGGCTTGTCATCCGTCTTCTAGTGATTGTTGTGGCTTCTATCTACAAAGGGGGTGTTTCGTTCCAATTCGTTTATCCGTTCCAAGGCTTTCCTGATTTTCCCGTCTTTTTTGGTGAAGTCTCCCTTCCATCGCGCCAAACCCGGAGGTGTTTTATCCATCCAACTATATAAAGTCTGGTCTGCTATTTATATACCGCCGTGTTTGAAAGCCGACGACAAAGAGGGGGGGTAACGTTTGCGCGTGAGAGCAATCGCGCGCATCAAAAGTAAAACTGCTTTCGCAGATTCCGCATCCGTGCAGAATTCGGCTGCAACTGCGGCTGGACCATGCTCGTTGTCGACGCCTGATCTTCGGGAGTAGGCGTCGTCTCATCTTCACCGCCCGGCTCGGCCGCAGCGCCTTCCTACTGGCCCGCAGTGCTAGCCAGCTCGTTGAGCTTTCCTCGCTCCTCTTCGGTGAGCATACCGTACCACTCCTGGAAGTTGGCCACGTTCTCGCGCGCCGCGCGCAAGAAGAACTCGGTCAGGTACGCCTGCGTCTCGTCATCGCGTTGGCGGGCACCCGAACCTTCGATGTAGGACATCAGATCCGACTTAGTACCGCCCAGGCTAAGGTCGAGCGTCTCGGGCT